TGAAAAAGGTATAAAAGAGAAAAATCACCCAACATATTATCTTTTCCTTATAGATTCCTGTCAGAATCTGAATTCTCAAAATATATTTTATTTAGTGTTCATCTCTAGTCCCCTCAAAATCTACATTACTGTGACCTCTCCAAAGCCAATGGCATGGTGCACTTGTGCCTGACATCACTTAGCATTATTGTGCTTACATGACTGAAGAACAACCACTAAATTGCACAATAATGTTTACAATGAAGAGAAGCAGATCACTATAGATGTGTAAATGTCTACTGATATAATGAAGAGTGCCTCAGCCATATCATTTAGGGGTAGGACATGGTCATTATGAACTCTAAGAAAATCCTAGGATACTGGAAGGGAAAGAATAAAGGACTCTAAATTTCTAAATCAGCACCAGAACAATATCACCTTGTGAGGTTATTAAAGGATTGTGTGCATTTTTCTGGAGAGTATGTTTTTTGGATGAAAGAGCTCTGATGATCTATGGTTACTAAAGATTCCACAACATTTTTCCAAGATCAAGACACTGAGACCCTGTATCTTGATCAGATTCCAGACTGGATTATTATAAATGCCACTAAAAATATTTAGCAGCTTTAACTGGCTACAAAAAGAGTCTCCAATTCCTGGCTCACACTTTTCTACTGACTATGCATTTTAACAGCTGCCATATCCCAGATAGGACTTGGAAGCTTTTAGCAGAAGGTGAAGTGATTCAATTATATATTTTTGGAAATGTTTGGGGACCCTTTGGAATGAAATACATGTTTCAGTTACTTCTTTGTGAAGCTGAAATAATGCAAATAAAACCATTTGAGTTATTCCAAATATATGCAATTGGATATGAGGGCAAATTATCTATAAATGCAAATTCTCAAGATAATTGGCTGTTATTGATTCTTTGCCTGACCATATGCCTTATGGTAAGCCGTTTGCTGTGAAAACGCGTATGATGTAAGTGAGGATTGGGTTACTTCAGGTGAGGAAAAAAAAAAATAGGATTCATCTTCTGCAGCTTAGGAAATACAGTATCTGGGTTGGTTTGTTTTTTTCCAGGCAGCAGACCGCAGTCATTAAGAAGGATAAAGAGATCTAGATAAATAAAGTAATGTGTGCGGCTTCCAAAAGGGCAATCATTGGCATAGGCATAAACTGGAAAAACATAACACAATTTGTTTCCTTCAACCTGCACCACCTTAAGTACCAAGAAGCTAAGGGATTCCCATTCCTGATTCCTTCAAAGCTCTTTTAAACAAGTGCCAGGGTTTCATGGGAGGAATCAAGCACAGAGAACAGTAACTGGCTGATAAGACTACCCTTCCCTGCTTTCAAGAAAAACGCTCTTCAAACCGCTGCGCTTTTTCCAGCGGCCGGACTGCTGTGGGCTGGCAGCAAGGGCATGTCTGCACCTGACCGGCTACCCAGAGCCCCAGCACCTCCATCTCCCGCCCCGCTTTACAGGGCTGGGGAAACGCACGGGAAGACACGTGGAAGCCAGACTTGTCCCGCCGGGGGAGGGGGAGGAGGAGGAGGTACAAGATGCCCGTGGACTCCCAGGAAGGAGGCAGGCGCGGGGCCGGGAAGTGTCCCGGGCAACAGGTGGCGGCGGGCTCACCTCGGCGGCCGGGATGTTGACGACGCCGGTGGAGCGGCGCTTCTCCCGCAGCTTCCTCTTCTCGATCTGCCCCTTGCCCTTCCTGGCGCTCGGCCCCGAGCCCTTCCCCTTGGGCGCCGCCACAGCCACCGCCACCGCCACCGCCACCGCCGCCTCCTCCTCGGGGCCCGCGGGAGGCTTGGGCGCCGGCTCCGG